GATAATGGAATCCTCAGGAACATCATAAACCTACAGATTCCTACATATAGAATTCTGGGGAGATGAGCCAAGTTGAGTTGTGTGTTTGTAAGTAGATAGAGTGGGGAAAAAGCTTCAGCTGCTTGTTTCTTCTGGGTTTTTTGCAGGGAAAAAATGTTTTGCTAAATTACATTCAAGCTTATGAAAAGTACTTTAAAATCCTACTCAGTAGGAAAGGGACTTCATTTTAATTTGTAATAGTTATAAATTATATGGTATATATTATATATATATATACACACCATATATATGTGTGTGTGTATTTATATAGTTATTTGTTATTTCAGTCATTTTCAGTCATGTCCAACTCTTCATGACCCTATTTGGGGTTTTCTTGACAAAGAACTGAAGTGGATTTGCCATTTCCTTCTCCAACTCATTTTACAGAAGAGGAAACTGAGACAAACAGGGTGAAGTGACTTGCCCAGAGTCACACAGCTCGTAAGTGTCTGAGGCTGGATTTGAACTCAAAAAGATAAGTCTTTTTGCCTCCAGTCCCAGTGCTCTATTCGTTGTGCCACCTAGCTGCCCATATATAGTTATAAATTCTATAAATTACATTATGTATTATTATATAACTGTATTTGACATATAGTTTCTGTATATATATGTGCATATATTTGCGCACATGTATGTATTTCTGTATGTATTGTGTGTATGTACATTCATACACAAGAAACCGCACAATACCACTGGAGCAAGGATCAACTTTGGAGTCAGGATAACCTGAGTTCAAGTTCTGTCTCTGAGACATCCTAGCTACGTGTGACATTGAGCAGTCACTTGTAATTACTCAGTGCTTCCATGTGCTGATCTGCATTGGTATTTCCTCACCAGAAGATTCCTAAAATAGTGGAATAGCAGGTCTGGTAAAGGTGCTGGGCATTAATCCAGGTGCTGTGGACAAAAAGGCAAAAGGTTCATAGTCCTTAAACCTTAAACGGTTTACAGTCTAGCTGGCAGTTGACACGTGTATAACAGACTAAGTGGAAACAACATACATAACTAATTATGAAAATAAAAACAGGTCAGTCAGTTATATTACATGGAACAAGCATCTACTAAGCACTTGTTACTGACACCATACTGGGGTAGGCACTGGCAATGGAGAGTTGAAAGACAACATCCTTGGCCACAAAGGACTTAACACTCTACTGCTTAGGTCAGTCAGGCAATAAGCATTGTTAAGTACTTCTGGGATATAAAGAAATAGATTTCTTTGTGGGGGAAGGTACTTTAGGCTAGGGTATCAGGAAAGGCTTCATTTAGAGAAGGGAGTGTTTGAACAAAGCACTGGATGAAACTAGACATTCTAACAGGCAGAGGTGAATAGGGAGGGTATGCCTGCATTCCAAGAAAGGGGGAATGGATTCTTTGCATGGGCCAATACCTCCTAGCCTTCCCAGGCAACTCTGCAAGACTATGCTGTTCTGCATGGGTAGAGTTCCTCAAACGACTGAGAGGACAGGATCCAACCAATAAGTAGATGCTTACTCCAAACTTTTGATGTAGAATATTCCTGGTGAGGAAACTCTTTCCACACTTCCATCTGCTCTGACAATATTATATGTTCTATATTATAACTCCATTATAATATGATAATATTGACATGTTATATAAGCAAAATATGGTATATGGGATATATTATAATATGGTATAATAATATACATTACAAAATGATAATCCCTGCATTGTATTATATTGCAAACACCTGTAAATAGCAGTGGGAAAATCCAGTGAATATTTCTGAAGATTTTTGTTCATATTAAAATGAATAGATTTGCAATAAGTATTTTAATTTGGAAGAGCTAAAGGGAATATTTAAGAAAATTAATGTCAAATATAAATGGCTGGTTGCTAAGAAACAGTTCCCCCATTTTTAGTAAATTCTCAGAACAAAACTTTTGTAAGGTCACAGTTTTTGCTGAGGAACAATAACTTGTATTAGTTACAGCTTTTCCTCTGCTGGGGGCCATATTTTTATAGGTAATTACCCACTTGGGAGAGCAACCCACATCTGTGGAGGCTGTGTTTATATCCTCAATCAAATATGGGTAGTGGGAAGGGAAATGACCAGGTGAATTCTACCAAATAAATTATTTTGAAAATAGGCGGCTAAGCCTTTTGTTTCCAAAATCTGTGTGTTTGTGTGTATGTGTGTTTATGTGTACCAAACCATAGGTGAGTGTTCAAGCTGTAGTCCTCCATTTTAAAATATCTTCTCACCAATGTGCGTATTACTATTTTTTTAAAATCCCTGTTTGCTTCTTCCTCTTCCCTGCTTTTATTTTTTGATCACTCTTAACCTTTTCTCCACTTGATATAAAAATGTATTAACATGAAACCCATTTCTCATTTACCTATTACTGGCTTCCAGAAAGACTGCCTGGGGAAATCATTTCCACTTAGCTGTTTGTTACCCTCACTCTAGGGACTGGCCCTTAACTAAGCTCAAGTCTTCAAGATGATATGACAAATATCCTGTGAGAGCTAGGATTACATTCCCTTGCTTGAGACAGAACATAACTTAGAGCAGTTTAAAGTTACAACGGGCTTTCACACATCCCTATGTCAAAACATGGCATTTGTGTAACTAAAATTGGTCTGTGTTTCTTTTTATTTTCTATTTTGCTTATTGAAAGTTATCCTCTCATTTTGAGAAATTAGGTTCCTTGCTATCAAAGCCTCAAGATGTTCTCAATATTTGATATCAAGTATGCCTTTCTATTCACAAAGTCATTACAAAGCTCTCATGAGCTGTACAAAGACGATTAAATAATTTTAAACCAACCAAGTAAAACCACATATATGTATATATCCATTTATTTATTTATTATTAATTAACTAAATCCCTTAATTAATTAAGTATTCATTATTATATATACATATTTATTTGTTTGTTTGTTTATTTCTTTGTATACTTTTGTAATAGAAGCAGGTGCTCAGCAGGTGGCTTGCCTAGGAAAAATTCTAAGTTATAATTTCGCCACTAGGTGGCGATATTGTTTAGCATCACTGTAATTTAGGGCCAGAAGAGAAATTAGGGGAAAATACCATGTTTTGCCCGAAACGTGATCTCTATATGTTTCATGGTGAGTGTTGTGAGACTGTTCTATTGCTAACTTACTGTCAGTGAGACATCCTGTAAATCATTAGATTACTCACGGCAGTGATCAAACAAACAAAAACAAAAACAAAAACAAAAAAAAACCAGCCTTGGTCTTAGGCTTTTGGTTTCTGGCTCCAAAGTTGACATCATTTGTATGGGACAGTATGCTCTAAATATTCTTCTAGATGACAAAGGTTATGATAGAGTGGCTTGGTTAAATGTTTTAACCAAAATTGAAATCACAAACCATTTTGGTGACACAACTGGTCAATCAGAAAAACAAAACCAACTAATTCAATTACATTACATTCAACAAACATTTACTAAGTCCTTGCTATGTGCAAAATACTGGGATAGGCCTGGCAATACATAGACAGAAAACAGCCCTACCCACAAAGAACTTAACATTCTACTGCTTAAGCCAGTTAATCACTCAGTAAACAAGCATTTATTAAAACATAGGCTAAGTTCTGTGGTACAAGGAAAGGTAAAAAACAAACAAACAACAATCCTTGCTTTCAAAGAGCATACATTCTAATGGTGGAGACAACATGTAACTAACTAGATATAGCAATATACAGAATATCTGGAAGGTAATCCAAAAGGTAGTTCTTTAAATCTCCCTTTGTAGAAGGTAGGATTTGAAATGAACCAGGTAACTAAGGCAAGATAGGTGAAGTAAGGTAACTTAACCTTAGTTGTTGGAAGGAAGGCAAGGTAACTAAGAGATGGCAGAGCAACTAGAAGTCAAATTGGTCTATGTCAATAAAGATGGCCTGAGAGAAGATAAAAGTTTTTGTTCCTTCAGACCACATTAGAACCTAGGTCACAGAATACCTTAGGGTCTCTTGTGTTGGTTTTTTATGGTAACCAAATGTTAGATTAAGTACAACTAGATTCCTTTACAGTACTGAGTATTAGGGCCAAGAATAACACCTGCTTTACAAGCTATTTCATGAGGCTTTTAATGTAAGTAGCCACATTGTTGTTATACCAGGGACAAGATTTGACTTGTGGTATATCCAGCTCTGCATAGGGACAAGCCCTATTAGAACTGCATTCTACTAAATTAAAGAGACTATGGCATGATTAGTATCTGTGATTTCTTCCATTGGGATCTCCCAGTATAGAAACTCCCTCCACACATCTGGATGGAGATCTGCAATTCCTTTGTGATAGCCTGACTGACTTATAGTCTTAGAGAGTTGACACTAAGGTCTCGTAGAACTAGTACCACTCAGAGACCAGACTTGAACCAGGTCCTGACTCTGAGGTCTTGCCTTCTATTCATTATGCCACACCGATTATGAAAGTATCAATGAGAAAATTTGGCTATATTTTGGGGCTCTCATTTGTTGTTCAAAATCAGATAGTTTGATGACCTAAGGGGGGGAAATTGTTTTGTGCTCAGAGAGCTACAGAATGCTCTCTCCTGCACATTCCTATTTGGAACCGTGATGGCATCCTACGAGGAGGAATTTGACCCAAGGTTTGTATTTGGAAGTTGTGCTTTATTTTTATTGAGTTAGGCTTAAACTTTGGTTCAATCAAGTACTGTCTCTACAGAGGTAAGTGAGACATTAGCAGAGACAGGTCTTTGAGAACTCAGCAAAGGTGTTTTTTTAGAATTTAATTGTTTGGGGGCAGCAGTGAAATGGATAGAGCTCCGGCCTTGGAGTCAGGAGGACCTGAGTTCAAATCCAGCTTCGGACACTTGACACTTACTAGCTGTGTGACCCTAGGCAAGTCACTTAACTCCAATTGCCTCAACAAAAAGAAAACAAAAACTTAATTGTATGAACATTTTTATTTTTTTCTAAGTAAATGATGCCATTTTCAATTTTAATTATAGGTGTCCCACCCCTGGTTGTGATGGCTCTGGACATATTACTGGCAATTATGCTTCTCATCGAAGGTATGTAAAATGATGGTTATTCTTTTCTTCAAATATATTGTATTAGTGGGATATTAGCAGAACATAATGCATGTGTAGGAAGCCTGCTGACCAGGCTCTATATGGACATGCTCAGTCTGATACCAGTGAGAGAATTTTGCTATAGAGGATGTAGGCTGACTTGGAAAATAGATCTTTGTAATAGTATCATTGTCACTATGTCACAGCTCTTTAAGATGGAGTTTTCTCAAATAGGCCCAAACATCACCTAAAATAAGCTTTGCCTTGAACTTAGCAATGCTGAGAGAGAAGGAAAGAAGTCTTCCCTTACCTTGAAATAGTCCAAGAAAAGCCAAAGAACCAGTCTGCAATCTAGGACTCATATGTTATCACCCCCAATAATCATAGCCATTGAGAGGCAAACACATTCCTTTATACATTGGGATTTTAACCACAGAACTGAATGGTTCATGTGAGCAGGGATCAACAAAACTTTAACTATATTATAACTTAACAAATAAAAATGTCATGCATGGTACTACAAATATATACCTATGTGTATGTATACACATATTGTGTATATGTGTGTATGCATATGTGTGTATGTATGTATACATACATATACTTACATATATTATTTGAAACATGCTTTGCCTGGTAAAACTATTTGATCATGCAAGATAGGAAATTTTGTATTAGGAGTAATTTGAAAAAATCCTTTGGCACACTGTCAACAATAATGAATCTATTTCAATTGGTGATATAAAATGTGCACCTAGTTTTTTGCCCTGGATTAATGTGGCCTGTGCAGTTGTAATGATCATAGAGGTAAGAGAGAGTCAGTCAGTAAACATTTATTAAGAGCCTACTATGTGCCAGGCACTATGCTAAGTACTGGGGGGTACAAAAAAAGGCAAAAGACAGTCCTTGACCTCAAAGAGCTCACAGGTCTAATGGAGGAGACAAAAAGCAAGTATGTATAAATGAACTATATGGAGGAAAAATATAAAACAATTAAAAGAACAAAGGCATTAGAATTAAGAGGTTGGGAGAGGTTTCCTGTAAAAGATTATACTTTAATTGGGACTTGAAAGAAGCCAAGGAAGCCAGAAGGGAAAGATGAAGAGGGAAAGCATTCCTGACATGGGAGAAGCCAGAGAAAATGCCTGGAGTGGAGAGATGAGGTGTTTCGTTCGAGGAACAGTAAGGAAGTAGGGAGGAAGACTGGAAAGTAGAGGGGCGTGTGTGTGGGGGGGGGGAATTGATAGGTTATGAAGGACTTTGAACACCAAACAGGATTTTTTTATATTTTATCCTGGAAATGATAGGGAAATATTGAGGTTTATGTTCCTGGGCAATCAAATTCATGGTCTTGCTTGTTTCTTCATATGCAATTGATCTATTCAAACCTTTCCTAGAGTGGGGAATGTCTATTTTGCACCTGAAGACACATTCCAGTGTCTTTTAGCATTTGCTGAAAGCCTTTACTGAACTCTCACTGGGCCATGGTTAGTTTGAAATACCTATGAGACAAAAGAGTTCAAGATGTCTCAAACGTAGTTGTTGATGATTGATGTAGCTCATAAGGGAGATTGGGGCTAGATGTATAGATCAAGGAATCATCTGTAGAAAGATGAAAACTGAACTCATGAGAGCCAATGAGATCACCAAGTGAAACAGTACAGAGGAAAGAAATGTGTCTAAGTGACGGCTATGTGTCAAGCACTGTGTTAAATGTTATATAAATATTATTAGTATTTTCATTTGACAGATAAAGAAACTGAAGCAGAGATTAAGTGAATTGCCCAGGGTCATACAGCTAGTAAATGTCTGAGGATAGATTTGAACTTAGGTGTTCCTTTCTCCAAGTCCAATACTCTATACAATGTACCACCTATCTGTCTCTAGTATGGTTGGTATGCTTGTTGACTAACAATACACACAACTTGAAGCCAAGGTGAGAACAGCACTGGTTCTCTGTTTGGGCTTGCTTGGACTGCCCTCATGAATCAGAATTAAATGGTTAGAGTAGTGTGGAAATCACAGCTTTGGTTACATTAAATTTGATCACTTTAGATTGTGAGATTCCCAAGGACAAGGAATGTCTTTTGCCTTTCTTTGTATCCCCAGCAATTAACACAGTGCCTGGCACATAGTTGGCATTTAATAAATGCACATTGACTGGCACAATTTCGGTTGAAGGTTAAATTAAAAACTGTGGTATCTTTTTTTCTTTTTACCATAAGGACACCCATTATCAGAAACTGTACCATGGTAGTTGATTTTAAAGTTTAAGTTTAAAAAAAAAATTATACTTTGGACAATATGGTCCAGAAAGGCATTGCTGGCATTTAGAATGGTTGATCATGTGAACTACTACATTAGACCAGGTCAGTCTGAACATTAAGCTAGCAGTATTTGTCTGGACCATGTTTTCCATGGTGTTAATATATAGAAAGAAAAAAGTACACATACACATATATATGTGTGGGGGATATATATATGTTTATAATGTATATAATTATGTATGTTGTATATGATTATATATGTATATATGCACACATTGCCATCAGAGAGCATTTGTTGAGAAGATTCTATTGTATACATATATTTGTATATTTTGTGAATGCATTTCTTAATGTGTGTATGTATTTAACATGTAAGTTCCAGTTTCTATTCTATAGCCAGACAGGCTGATCTCCGGGGTACCTTACAACCCCAGGAGATTTGTGGGCTTCTCTTCTCTACTACCATTTGTTTAAGTTATTATGCTGTGTTCCTTCCATTGCAAGGGGTCTATTATCAGAACCCCAGTTTCATTTAATCACTCAACATCAATTAGATTTTACAAAGATACAGAAAGAGGAAATAAATTAACATCACCTTCAACACATCTCAGTGGGGTGGGGGTATGAGGGGAATGGGGGAGAAGATTAGACCCATAAGAGTTTGATTCCTACATACCATTGTTCCAAACAAGTTCATGTCTGAATGTGGCTTGACTGCCAGATGAATCCTTTTGCTGGGCTGGAGTTCTAAAGGTAGTTCCTCAAAATTACTCCTTGCTCCTTGGGGCATCAATGCTTCATTGGCTACAAAATCCAGGCTTGATTGTGACTCTTGGATTCCTGTGGCTCCCTCTCCTAACTTTTGAAACTCTCAAGGTCGGAGACACTCCTTCCTTTAGCCAGAATGGAAATGAACAAATGAAAAGGCTAAGGACCAAGGCTTGTTTCTCAGAGCCATTTGGCCCCAGAGAGGAAGAAGCTCCAAAGACCTTTGCCCGTACATCATAGTCTCTAACCAGATGCTGTGAGTGGAGTCACCAAATGAAGTGAAGAGAGTGTAGGGCCAAGAAAAAGTAGCTGAAGCTGAGATGCCTTTTTAAATTCTCTGTAGACAATCAAAGAGCTTCATCTCAACAATGTGATTAGCAGACAAGAACAAGTTACAGAATGTTAAGTATGCTCCATGGTCTCTCCAAGACACTTCTCTTATACATCATAATGATCCTCCAGGAAGTAGGCCTCCCAGCTTCTCCATGTGGGGAAGTCACAACATTCAAGCAAGCTGATGGAGTCTGTGTTTGCAGTTGACTCCCATTACGTGTATGTCTATTTTTATTGATGTGTGCCTATTTAATTTATATTGTTATGTTAAATTTATTGATATATTCTGTTTTGATACAACAGACTCTTTCTAATAATACCAAAACTCCCTTCTAAAAAAAGACATTTCCTATTAATAGTTTACCATTAACAGAAAATATGATCATGACCATTATTAACTCTGAGAGCGTGGTAACAACACTAACCAGTGTATTTGACCAGAGTTTTACACTCATGATACATTATAATGTATGATAAGAGCAAACTAATCACATGCCATCATGTTAAGGTAACTACTTTAGAAGAAAACTAGACATTTAGTTAGAAGTAAGAAGTGAATAGTATTCTAAGCTACTTAATCTTCATTATGATTTAGTTTGGAGATTAAACATTATCTTGAAATAACAAACTGTATCTTATAAAATCAACTTTTTGAAAAATACAAATTTTATTCACTGTTGTTTAGTCTACACAGCCTTAAAAGATAGTTGGATTGGTTTTTTCCCAGTAAACTGATTTTTCCCCTCCATTAATTTATTGGTTGGCTTGGCATCATAATATCAGCCATAGTTTAGTCTAATAATTTTTTCACCCATCCACTTAGAAAGTTAAGTGTAAATTTTTTAAATTCTGTTTAAGTAACTTAAGCTTAACAAGAGTTCAATACTAAGAAGAAGATGCTACTAGCATGAGCCTAAGAAGCTTAAAAGTAAATTTGTATTTATTTTGGCTAGGCTGCTCTAGTTAGGAGCTTTTGCATATCAGAAGATACGTGACAGCTTTAAAAAACCAGAGTAAGGATTACTCTTGGAAAGAAGAGTGTAAACTCAAATGTAGACAAAAACAAATGGTATTTATTATATATAGATATATATAGAATCTGTCTCAGGTGTCAGAAGGCCAGGGTCCTGTGGAGAGAGTTTGGATTCTTGAAGACCTCCATTCCAGTCCTGCTTCTGACACATCCTGCCTGCGAAACCTGGGCAAGTGATTTCACTTTTCAGTGACCCCAGTAACTCTCTAATACTATAAGTTATCAAATGTTTTGCATTGGTAGAGGGAATTTTCTCACTGAGAATTCCCTAAAAGACTAAAAGTTGCAGAGACAAGTAAGTGCCTACCTGTACTGGTAGAAGGAATTTCTTTAATGAGGAAGATAATGAAATCACAGGTCTAGCTTCTATCCCTACTTATTATTTCGCACATTACTTTTTGCCAGGCAGAGTTACCTTGATGTCCTAATGTCTTTTGATGGCTAATAATTCAGTATTTCTGTGGACCCCTGATTTCCTCAGTGGACATTTCTTTCAAAACCCATTCTGCAGTGATTCTTGCTATAAATTAATTGGGTAGAACTAAGTCTTTACCCCAAAGGACCAAAAATTTTGATGGTATTGGGAGCATAAAAATAGC